CTCTGGATCCGTGAGATTGAGATGGCCATGAGATCAGGCCTGATCACGCTTACCCATCAACAGATCTCCCTGGCTATCTCGAAGCTCGATGGTAGAGCTAGAGAATGGGCCTTGACGTGTAGCTCGTCGGTGGACATAGCGTTTCCTACATTGGAGTCGCTCAAGTCACAATTGGTACAGGTGTTTTCTCCACCTAACCTTACCGCGTGCGCTCACGCTTTCTTATCAACCCGTCAGGGTAAGAATGAACTATCGGACTATGTCCAAGAGCTGCGAACGCTCATGGATGCAATGCAGTCTGACCCTCTGTCTGAAGCAGTCCATGTGAATATCTTCATGGAAGGTCTACGTACTGGCATTGCCAGAACCGAGGTTTTTTGGGTTCACCCTCAACGTCTGAAGAGGCTGTGAGAATTGCTCTTAATGCTGAGCATAACTTCAAGTTGGCCAGACTTGGTTGGAATGGATACAATCCTCGCTCTGTGAGAGTAAACTTTTCGGGTACCACTGCTTATAATAGGCCGGAACCGATGGATCTCAGCTATGCTGAAGATGGAGGTGAAGCTGAGCTTCAAGCTGATGAGCAGCAACACGTCGTGCGACGATGTTTTACGTGCGGAAGCACTAAACACTTGCGGCCTGGTTGCCCTTTGCGTAATCAACGCCAGGCTACGAGCCAACACTCGACCCCGAGTCAGAAGTCTGGAATGGCACGGGGAAATGCCGACATCCAGTAGGCGCGGGGCGCCCTACTGGGGAAGAACTAAATTCTGTTACACCTTTAGAAGGTAAAGGAATGCAGGGCTTAGCCCCAACGAGTACCATACCTACAGGTATGGTGCGTATAAACAAGTCTGGCTTGTTGGTCGCCGAGGCGAAAATCAAGGGCTTTGATAAGCCTTGGTCGATATTAATCGATTCTGGAGCGTCTTGCAATTGTGCTCGACGCCGTTCCCTTGAGGGAAGTCAGCGTTATGCTGAGGCGCTTACAGCGCATAAGGGTGATTTTATAACGATTCGTTTAGCGACTGTAAGTCGCGTAACTGTGCCTAAAGTTCCATTGAATTGAGGTATGAAGTTTTTGGACTTTGACAGTATTGAGCGCTGTCTTGTCCTAGATTTGGACTCGAGATATGATCTCATCCTAGGTATGGCTTGGCTTGAACGCCATGAGCCCTGGATTGATTGGAGGTCTTAGACCTCAGGCGCTACGCACAATGTTCCTAGCGAAGCTTTGGAGAGTCATGAACCCACCTTCGCTAGGCAACAGAAGCGCTACTGGCGCAAGCCTTTGACAGAAGATGTCAATATGCTGGACATTGGAATGTCTGAGTTGTCTAAATCCAATGTTGTAAAAATAGAGTCCAAGCGTAGCTCGTCATGTATCAGTGATACGGCACGTACTCCGTTGAGTGTCACTCGTTGTGATAACGAGTCACTGCATGCTGAAAGCATGGTTGGCCTAGGGACGAGTGATCAAGGATGTGGTTCCTTTGATGTGTGTGTGGTGGCACGTGAAACTACACCGAGTGCGGTCGGCCGTGAGAGCACCGCACTTAATGTCGGTAATGGCGTTGTTGGCGATACGCCGTATAGTGTGGGCGGCCGTGAGGGCACCACACCTTTTGTCAGTAATGATACTGTTGGCGATACGCCGTTTAAAGTGGACGGCCGTGAGGGCACCACACCTAATGTCGGTAATGACCTTATTGGCGAGACGCCGTTAAATTTGGGGCTAGGCCCGCATAACACACGTGGAGTGGCACGTTTCAATCCATTGGGTGAAGTGTTCGAGTTATGTAACACTTCACCGGATGTCTGTCAAGACAAAAGCTCTTGCGAAGAGCGTACTATGGTTAGTAGTAACCATGGGGACAATATTGTCCCGACCCCTAAAGGGTGTAAGGTCTCGAAGAGACGATCGAGACGCCGGGTAGCAACTTTTAAGCGCCGGGCGTCCTCACAGTCACAAAACGATAATAGTAATACACTATATACACTTGTTAATGGAGTGACTGGTCAGGTTGATGGCAGTGTATGCCTTGAAACCCTTCCATCTGTGGACGCTTTTTGTGAGCTAGACTAAATGTCTGATGGCGAGTTTAGCCAGGCCTTGAAGGCAGGAGAGTTACCCGAGTTAGCGGTCATTAGACCTGATACTGAGCTGAATTTTTCATCGTTAATGGATGAGTCTGTCCTAGAGGATACAAAGGCGGCACTTAGTGCACGAAGTGGATCTTCGATCCTTAAAGATCCTTTGGTACCGTTCTATCCTTTAGTCATGAAATTTCAAGATGTGGTGTGTCACAACCCACCTTCTGCCTTATCTCCCGACAGAGGTGTACGTCATGAGATTGACTTAGTTCCTGGAACTAAATACTGTGTAACACGGCAGTGGCCTTTGCCTAAAGAACAGTGTGACGTCATTGACGAGTTCTTTCGTGCTAAGCACGCGAATGTAATAATTCGTTAAGGTAAATCTCCCCATTCAACACCGACAGTTTGTGTCAAAAAGCCAAATGGCAAGTGGCGTATTGTGCATGCTTATAATAAGCTTAATGCAGCCACTATACCGGCGCAGACGCCTATTCCTAGAAAGGATGTTCTTCAGAACAATATGGCAGGATGTACATTGTACAGTGCACTCGACTTAGTCGATGGTTATTACCAACTGCTCATGCGAGCAAGTGATATTCCGCTAACAGCGGTGGTTACTCCGAGCGGTATGCTCTGGGAGTGGCTCGTTATGCCACAAGGGCTATCTAACGCCCCGGCTACATTTAACCGGTTGGTAACGCAACTATTCAGACCTCATCGAGGCTATGCACAAAGGTACTTTGATGACATTTTTGTCCATAGTCGTGCAATGAATGGGCTATTAGGTGTGGATAACCACATCGATCATTTACGAGCGGTGCTCGAGTGTATGCGAACGAATAAGCTGTATGCGAACGCATCGAAGTGCATCTTTGGTGCAGAAGAGATTCCCTTTCTAGGGTGCTTCATTGGGAAGCGAGGCCTTCGAGCGGATCCCGCTAAGGTAAAAGCCATAGTCGATTGGACAGTCCCCAAGAACCAAAAGGACTTGCGTAAGTGGCTTGGCCTTGCCCTTAATTACTTACATAAGTACAGTGCGAATTACGCAGATATGGCTCGGCCATTGTCCAATCTCCTTAAAAAGATGTGGATTGGTGTTGGAGTAACACCGAACATGATGCGTTTGAAGCCGTTAAAGAAATTATTCTTCATGCGCCAATATTGGCTTTGCCCGATCCTGATCGGCCTTTCAGTGTCGTCTGTGACGCATCTGACTTTGCCATAGGCAGTGCTCTGTTACAAACAGATGTCGATGGACGCGAACGCGTCATCGCATTCGAGTCTCGACAGCTGAAAGCTGCCGAAAAGAACTATCCAGTTCATGACAAAGAGCTACTTGCTATGAAGTACGCTCTAGTCAAATTCAGAGTACATCTGCTTGGCTCAAAGCCGTTTGTGGTCTATACAGATCATGCGTCATTACGCACTGCGACACAGTCGCCTCATCTCTCACAGAGAATGGCTCGTTGGCTTTCCTTCTTTGCCGAATTTAACTTCGAGGTGATGTACAAGCCAGGTAAGCAAAAGGCTTTGGCTGATGCGCTATCGCGTCGACCTGACTATAAGCTTGCTCATGTTACGACTCTGTCGTCGTCATTCCCTGACTTAATCCGTGCGGCATATGCCAAGGATGATCAGTGTGTAGCTTTGCTACGTGCTCTTGGGAGCGATGAGTTTAAAGACTTGGACATAGAATTGTCGGCACGTTTATGTGCGAGGCTACATCGATATTCCATCGATAATGGCCTATTATGCTATCGCACGGATATTGAGGATAACCCTCGTATCGCTGCACCTCATGGTGAGGAATTAAAGTATCGAATCCTCTATGAGGCACATGATACTGCTTTAAGTGGTCATCTCGGTCGTGAGAAGACTTATATCTCGGTGAGCCAAAGTTGTTGGTGGCCCAAACTTTATAATAGGGTGCGCACCTATGTGCGTACGTGCGAAACGTGTCAACGGGTTAAACCCTCGGAACATGCGGCGGCGCCGCTGGCTAGTTTGCCAGTACCCACTAATTGTTGGGAGTCCATAAGAATGGATTTTGTGTTTGGCCTACCGAAAGATTCGGAAGGCAACACTGGTATTGTGGTCTTTGTTGACCGATTAAGCAAGATGGCTCACTTAGCGGCTGTGCCGGATAGCATCGATGCTGAAGGTACAGCAAAGCTGTTTATCGACCGTGTGTTTCACCAACAGGGCTTGCCGGTGGCAATTATCTCTGATAGAGACCCCCGCTTCACTGGAAAGTTTTGGAAGTCTATCTTCAAGGTTCTGGGCACTCGGTTGGACATGTCCACAGCGGATCATCAGCAGACCGACGGTCAACTGAGCGTGTTAACCGCGTCATCAACGACATTTTGCGCAGTATTTGCGCTGATACGCCTAGGCGTTGGAGCTCAATGCTCCCTGTTGTTGAGTTTGCGTTGAATAACGCTGTTTATGCTCAACAGGCTTCACTCCGTTCTATATAAACGGTCTCACTCACCCTCGCGTTCCGTTAACTCTATCACTACGTGAATCAGGGCTTGGTGGGGGAGAGGTTGCCGATCGGCTTGATGATATCAGCCCTGCTACTGTTCAAAAACAGGTAAGCGAGTTTCTCGCAACGCAATTAAATGTCTTAAGACATGTGCGTGACGCAATGGCTGATAGCTAAGATACCCAAAAACAACAAGCTGATGCCAAAGGCAGAAATTGTATTGAACGTTATGAGGTCGGAGACCAAGTACTACTCAATGCTAAAAACCCACCTACCAATGTAGTGTCTGCTGTCTTTAAGACAAAGTTGCGTCCACGCTTTATTGGACCGTTTACGGTCACGGCCAAGAAGGGACTTGCGTATACGCTAAACCTCCCGCGCAAATTGCACACACATCCAGTGTTCTACGTAGGCTTACTTAAGCCGTACCGGGATCCTTCCCATGTGAACTTGGAGGCGCTTGCGCCGACGACAAGGGCACTTCCCCGTATTGATGTAGGCGAATTAGCAAGTCTAACTGAGCCTCGCTCCGAGTTTGAGCTTGCTCCATCGCCTGAAGGCGGCTTTGCATCGCATCCAGCATGCACTGAGACTTACCCAAGGCCTCTTGAAGACCCTTCACTTCGAGAACCAATTTCTCGTGGGCCTCCACCGGTACACCGGCCGCCACCGACTTTGCTCGATGAGCATGGGTGTCGTCAATATAAATGTCGAGAGACTACTGAAACGACGTCGTCGTCAGGGCCAATACCAGTATCTGGTAAAGTGGCTTGGGTACCCTGAGTCTGAAAATTCATGGGAATATGAGGTCCCCCTTCGGCAAGACTGCCCATATGCTTTGGAGGCTTTTGAGCATCGTGGCCATGGTCATCTCGAGACCAAGGCCGTTCCCCACCACTAGTGGTGCAGGTTGGCGGGTTGTTGGCCACAGACTGACCAGCACCCGCGGCTACCTTAGTAGCCGAAGCATAGCGCTTGCGCTTGCGCAATTGGCCTCTGGCCTTAAGCTTGGCATAATCATACCGAAGCTTGCGTTCGAGACGCACATCAGCCGCATGGTCACTAGCCCTTAGAGCTAAAATGTTGCTGAGGCGACGCACATAGTGCACCCAGTGAGCGAAGGCATCGTCTTCTTCGCTGTCTGTTTCGCCTGCGAACAAGAGAATGGGTATACTCTTGATCGGTGGAACCGGTGTATTACGCGCTTGCATGTCAAGGCGTGCCTTGTATTGACTTTGAATCGTTAGGTGCGGCTCCAGGTACCTCTCACAAAGTGCGTGGCAGCTCACCACTTCCTCAGGAGTCTTAGGCCCATGGCCAATGACCCACGTTGCCAATGTTTGGCCGGCCGCTTGACGTAGACGTTCCTCCACAATGGGTGGGGTGAACACATAGTCACGCTAGCTTTCAAGGGTTGCAGCCATTTGTACATAACGCTGAGCGTTTTCTTCTTTTTAGACAAGCAATTGTTGTTGCTCATCGAGCGGGTTCGTGATAATAGTCTCATCAGACCCAGATGCTGCATGCTGCGCTGGTGGCGCGCTCGCATGTCCAAGTTCAGCGAACAAATTTGGGGTGTTCGAAGGTTGTGCCTCAGGCATCAGTGAGCCGGACATTGTCCTTGTATCACCGCGGACACTGGTATCGCTACCATAGTCCACCTCCTCCTCTATCCCGAGGTATTCACACAGAGCCTTTGACTCGTTTAGTGATGAGGACATCGTGCTAGAGCGTACGCTACCGTGAGGTTCACCGTACGCGCACTGTTCTCTCTGAGAAGACGAGTTCGAATGACGTTTTGGCAAGCGTCAGTCTAGTGGGGGAGGGTGTAACGGGGTTGCACGAAATTATGGTGCTTTGTACCAGAAGTGTTACACACCTGAGGTCACCCCTTTGTGAAGGTGATATAGAATATCTTATTGGTTTGTAGGGGCTGACGAGTGTCAGCCATTAGGTACGAAAGATCTTTGAGTAGGATTAAGATATTCTATAAGCGTTAACAAAAATAAAATCAGTTCCTATTTAGATCTAAAGGACACGTGGCTTGCGAGCCGTCTTGATCGTTGATCACTGATCATTAAGAGTTAGCAACACCTCCTTGAGGTAGCTACTCTTGAGCACTGAGTGCTGTCGATTCACTGAATCGTTAGTTCCCCTGGACCAGGGATCTGAAGATGTAAAAGCTTGTGGACTCATTAAGTCCTTAGTTCTTTAGAACTAACTTGCTCGTAGAGCGTTAAGTATTCCTCTGACTTAAGGAGCTGTGTAGCTCCGTTACAGATTCTATGTTGTCACTGCGCACTAAGTCGACGTTGCCACGTCCACGGCTTAAAGTATTTTGCTGAGGATTCTCGACGTCAAGTGCGGGATTGGCTTCGGTCGGCGTGTTGAGAAGGCCTGTTCGGCTACTTAAAAACGTCTGGACAGGAATGTGGTGAGGCGCCTGCTCAACTTCATCCGCTACAATAGATTGAACTCTACGGCTGCTTTCATGCAGCAGCTCGAGCTGGTCAACGCGTTCACCAGGCAAGAGTAGATGCCTGATTTGAACCATGTCCATTCACCGATCTTTCCGGCCTGATAGCTGTGCCCAGGGTTCTAGAGTGTATCAAGGAGCCCGCCGAGGCTTGCAGTAAGCGCAGGTCAATAAACGCCGTAGCAAGACCATGCAGCACATTCGCGTCGAGGCTGCGCAGCTGGACTTGCCAGCCACAAAACTACGCATCTACACTCGCTGACGCGCTGAAACTTATCACATATGCGCTTCATCGCTTCTGGCAAGCGGGTCGTTCTAGACAGTATTGCATAGCAGCCAAAGGAAGTTTCTGGTTGAGGCGATCTCGCTGATTTTGAAAGACTGAGAGTGGCTTGTCTACGCTTCAACGAGGTCCCTGCCAGGTGTGGACCGTATCTCGGCAGATTACAACTTGTCTATCGATTGGTGACGACTATACTCGCTCTGCCATTTAATCACTGCGAAAATGGCGAAGAGGATATGCTTGATTCCTAGGTTAATTGACGACAACGGACATGTAAGGAAGATCAACTAATACAAGAGAAAGCTGAGGCAAGAACCGGTGTAACGGCGCACCCTGAAGCTTGTACTGGTGACAGTACAAGCTACTTATTCTGCTATCAGAATAAGGCGGTGCCTCGGAACTTCACGTACACTCGTACGTGCAGAGGAAGACGGTAAGAAGAAGCGAGTACTTGGTTAGAGTAAAAAGTAGAACTGTATTTATAATAGTTAATGTCTGCAATAAATCACTATTTATCGTCATCTAACTATTTATCTTCATCTAACTATGTCTAAATACAAATGTGCATATCAACTATCTGCTCACCACTCATTGCGTGCGTCTGTCGTGGCGCGTCTTCGTTGGTTGATATAATGGCCTATATCAACCAATTAGGAACTACTCGTAAGTGCTACAGAATATTTGTCCTTATGACAATATTCTGAGAATATAACTCTTACAGTTATATTCTATTAACAATTTCTTATAAATTGTTATGTAACGATTCACCCCGTTACATCACCCCCCCCTTAACCATCAGTCACTTTAGTGACTAATTGACTAAATGGATACTTGTCCCAAATCATTTGGGACAGGATTTGCACTTGTTGGTCCGAGTCCACTTTCCAACATCTCATCGCATGGTTAACAAGCCCATGTGATGCGCGAGCAAGGCCGCCGAGAGCGCGTCCGCACGTCTCTGTGCGGGAGCCGACTCAGAAACCACAGCAACTGATGTCTCATCGGTTGCTGAAGCGACTCAGCATGTGTCACTTGGTGATGCAGGCGCTGGTCATGAAGACACTCATGTCTTCACAGAGTATGGGCTCGGTGTCTCATACTCTCCTGATACGGAAGACGGATCCGTATCGACGGTGACCGAATCCAAGCCGCCTGCCAAGCGTGGCATGGATGATGCTATGCGTCGTAGCATCTTTGGTTCATCTGATGAATCAGATGAACCATCGCCGAAGCGAAGGCGCTCGAGGTCGCGAGACTCGGGCGCTAACAGTGGTGTCGGCTCTCATATGGACACCACTTCGCAACGAGGTGCCAGTCCTTCCGTCGGCACGTCGCAGGAAGAGCGGGACCGCAATGTCTTGCGTCTAGCTCCTGAGAAGAAGGCATGGATGCCTCCTAAATCTGTCATGGATCACTTGTCGGTGACGACGAGTGATCGTTATCAACCACGATTGTTCGATTCGTCAAGGATCCATCACCTTGACCCCAGTACGAAAAACTATCGCGCTGAAAACGATATCTTCATCGATGCTTTCTTTAGACATCGATGGTACAGTGGGAATCACAAGCGTGATGGTCCCTCACTACTTCAAGCGTGTAACGCCTACATCCATAACCTTGAGGATGTAGGTCGTGACGCTTGGAACGACAAACTTATCAAAGCTTGTGCTAAGTTTGAAAAGCGAACCCCGACAGGTGCACGCTACAAGCTGCATCGTCTGTCAAGGGAGAAAGGGTTACCCTTCCTCTCTTGGGGAGACTCGTGCCCATGTTGTGTGAACAACTCTGCACGAGCACCTAAGGAGGCTTACCTCCCTAATAGCCCGTGGTGGCGCGTACGTATCTCTAATGAGATGTACGAAGGGATTAACAACCTGAAATCCCTTTACGACCGTGCCGGAAAGACTTTCTCCGGCGGTCCTTCTGCGGCACAAAATGTGCCGCGTCGTACTGCTCAACCAGACCCAGTACGTCGATCATCAGTTGGGAGCGGGGCTCCCAAGTATCCCAGGACGGGGGATAGCCGCGTTACCGAACGAGATAACTCGTCCGACGTCCGTTCACGTCGCGGTGGTTCAACAGCTGCTCAACTAGATAGCGCTAGCCACCGCTAGAGCTCTCTAATGGAGGTGGAGGAGGAGGAAAGACGCTCTGCACACGATGGTGGGGATCCGTGTGTTCCCGAGAGCTTCTTTGATTGTGTAAAGCAAGGGTTACGCGGCGATCTCGAACATAGGCGGGACAGGCGTCTCCAAATGGCGGACACTGCCTCGAAGCATCGAGCTGAGTTTGCCTTTGCTCAGCTTGAGAACGAGAGAGCTCTGACATCTCTTCGTGACGAGCTAAGGGAAGGGTAGCTCGTGGGATTGTTGATCGGTCTCGGGATGAGATAACTGCTCTTCAGACCCTTGTCGATGCCCACCATCGGGAGCACAAGGCCCTCTGCGAGACGCTTGAGCGCAAGGGCGTTCTTTATCGGAAGAAGCAGCGTACTGATGGTACGGCTAAAGCCGACCAACGTAAAACGTGGGATGCGTTCGCATCTTACGTGGCAACTCGATCGTGTACGCATTGCCTAGGCGGTGCAAAACACGAAATGGGCCGATGTACTTGGGTATTAGTTTAATGCTACCCAAGTTAGTCACTACATGCTTTGGCAGATTAACCGTAGACAGTAGGACTAAGTCACCTTTATTAAATAAAAGAGTGTTTGCCCTTCCATTCTTGTCAGCGTTTTGCTTTTGCTTATCCACCGCTTCGGCGATGGAGTCTTGCACAAAACGGACTACCGTTTCACGAGCCAGTATGAGCTCATCTGATGACTCGTTAGCTTCAGTGCGCTGTGAGTGCACTGCAGCAACATCAATCTTTTCTTCAGTGAGGGCTTCCGCACTCTCACTGGCATCATCTTCTTCGATATCGATGTTATCGATATCGGCATCAAACGCAATGACTTCTTCGTCAGAGCGTGATGAGCGTGAACCAAATTGGTTTTTGCTCGCGCGAGTCCATCCCCCCTTAAACCAGAGTTACACTCTAGTAAGGTGGGTACACGCGGATGGCGCAAGCCATTCACGTAAAACGGTGTATGTGTCGTGGGCGCATGCACCGAGTTGTTAATGGCAAACTCTACCATTGGCAAAACCTCACCCCAACTCTTAAAGGAGTGTACGTATCCTCGAAGTATCTCTTCAAGGACACGATTGGCACGTTCCGTCTGACCATCTGACTCTGGATGATCAGATGTTGACATCTTCAAGCGCGTTCCGAGTGATTTGAACACGGAAAGCCAGAAATCAGCAGTGAATCGTGGATCTCTGTCTGATATGAGTTCACGGGGCAACCCATGAAGTCGGAAGACGGTGTCAATAAAGACACAAGCACATCCACTTGCCGTGATTGTCTCTGGTACAGCCACAAGGTTTACCATTTTGCTGAATCTGTCAACAAATACGAGAATACCCGTATTCCCGCGTGCGTCTTTGGGTAACCCGAAGACAAAATCCTTTGAGATGGATTCCCAGCACTCAGCCGGAACCGGTAGAGGCTGTAAAGGTGCACGCAGTGAAGGACTTGACTTCACTCGTTGACAGACTTCGCATGCGCGAACGTACTTGCGCACAAACTGATACTGGCGGGGCCAGTAAAAGTCTCGACTCACCGTGAGATTTGTCTTCTCCCGGCCACGAGGTCCTCCTATAGGAGCATCGTGATACTCGAACATGATCCGCAAACGCAGATCAGTATCATCTGGAATGACAACACGTGGTGTGTCACCAGAAACGGCTGTATAATACATTAAACCGTTGCGAGTAGTGTATCGATCTGATGCAGATCGATACGCAGACGACAATCGTTTCAACGATTCTCGAGATGGTTGTGAAAGATGTGTCAACAACTTCACAATCTCACCATCTTGGGCGTATGCCGCCTCACATCATCATACAACGTTGTAGATGGGACTGAGGACGTCATAACCGCAACAGTGACTGTCTCACTGTTGGGTTTCACAACTGGTTCAAAGTCGGGACGACGTGAGAGTGCATCAGCGACGACATTAAGTCCTCCTGGTTTGTACTCGTCCGTAAAGTTGTATTCTGCAAAGAATGACAACCACCGCGCCATTCGTTGTGAAAGGTGCGGGCTGTTCACTGCCGTGCGTAATGACGCATGGTCAGTGTAAACAGTGAAGGGTCTATCTCCTATTAGATAGACTCTGAACTTCGCGAGTGCATACTTCATGGAAAGGAGTTCCTTGTCATGCACTGGATAGTTCCGCTCAGCTGATCGCAGCTGACGCGACTGATAGCAGACGACGCGTTCAACGCCTTCAAGATCGCACTGCATTAATGCACAGCCGATTGCGAAATCGCTGGCATCACAGACCACATGAAATGGCCTGTCCTGATCGGCTATTGCTAGGACTGGGGATTGTATCAAGCTCTGCTTGATACCATCAAAGGAGCGCTGACATTCAGCGTTCCATAACCACCTCTCGTTCTTTTTCAACAAACGAGAGAGGTGCACAGTCATTTCGGCGTAATTGCGTGAATACTTATGCAAATACGCCGCTAGCCCAAGGAATTTTCGAAGACCTTTGACATCAACCGGCACGGGCCAGTCGGTGATCGCCTTGATCTTTTCGGGATCAGGACGTACACCGTTCTTACCAACGATGCACCCAAGAAGTGATATTTCGCTTGCTGCAAATATACACTTCTTGAGGTTTGCATACAATTGATGCTTTCGCATGATTGTAAGAAACTGTCGGACGTGGTACCTGTGAACCTCAACGTCCGACTTTCCATCCATAGCCCGACTATGGATGAATACGTCATCGAAATAACTCGGCGCGAATTCTCGTACTGGTCTCAACAGATGTGATACACATCTGTTAAACGTGGCAGGGGCATTACTAAGCCCTTGTGGCATTACTAGCCATTCCCAGAGCATGCCGCTTGCGGTATAGGGTATATCCCGTTCTCGCATAAGGATTTGATAGAAGCCGTCCATCAAATCCATGGACGAAAAGATGGTACTCTTTGACATACCATCAATGATTACGTCCTTCCTCGGTATCGGCGTCTGAGCCGGTACCGTTGCAGCATTCAATTTGTTGAACGCGTGCACTATCCGCCACCCTCCTGTTGCTTTTCGCACACAGAAGGTCGGAGAGCTATGTGGAGAAGTTGATTCCCTCACATGGCCCGCTGCTAAACGATAGGCAAAGAACTTGTCGATCGCAAGTACTTGTTCAAGAGGCAGTGGCCACTGCTTCATGACACAGTACTTCGAGCCTGGTTTAAGCTCGACCTCATGTCGAATACATTTATCCTTCGGTAATTCGCACGGAACAGTTTCAGGGACTACATCCTTGAATTCAACCAAATCTTCATAGAGAGGATTTGTCTTGAGCGATTCCCATGATTGAGAGTCATATCGCTCAATTCGCGTCTTTTCATCCAGGACACTCTCGTCCATAGATGAACTACTGAGAACTCTCTCGGTCTCAGTAAACACTGTTGCTGACCTTATGACGGCTACACACTCGTCGTCAGCGACGCGTACGCAGATCTGCTTGACTTTGCCACTACGCAGATCACGCAAGAACCTTTTATGTTCGAGCGTTGGCAACTGAGTGATCTCCGAAGTCAACTTCATAGGCGCAATCAGATCAAGTGTATAAGCGCCTACACTTGATCCGTTATTGACTATGGCATTCAATGTCTCTGTCATTTCTTGGGGACTTAGTCCCTCAGGCCTCGAAGGACTTATTCCTTCGGCTTCCGGGGACTTATTCCCGCGGGTTTCGGGGAACTTATTTCCGCCGTATTTGTAATATCGGGACTTATTCCCTTTACTTCCTCTAGCTGTGGTTGCGCAACCACAGCGAGATCCTCTACGAAAGACTCTCCAGTCGATCTAGGATTATCGTTTCGCTTAACCTGAGCGATCGATTGTTTCTCTTTTAGATGTTCCCCGCTAGGGATACATCTTTGTCCCGGTCCACTCGACTTATTCGAGTGGTGGACCTTCAATGCAGCCTGTGTTTCCTCACAGCCGCCGGAACTTTGCTCCGAAGTGTAACCGTTTGTTACAATAAGGTTTTGTGCAGTCGTACTAACGACCGTACCACAATTGAGGCCATCGCACTTACTCGTAGTACATCCAAACGGTTGTAAACGTTCCAACACGTTCATCAGATGGCAATCCGATGAGCAAACGGCAGGCATCTTCACGTATCGATGCTGCCAGATAAGCCATGACTAGTATGTTCTAAGCCGTGGCAGACCGAGGATGACATCAAAAAATTTCATCCAAATCGAATACGATAAAGTCATCATCGTACTGCTTTCGTTCTATCACGTAGTGGATTCCCACTACACGTTTGTTCACTGTTACGATTGCGCCTGTAGCGAGGCACACCGTTATACTCGTTGGAGGGAATTCTCGCTCAACATAGGTGAGACTACTATCCTCTAGCGACTAGCGTCGTGTAAAACTGTTCGACGCCCCACAGTCAACTAGGGCGAGAAATGACATTCCACTTGTCTCTTCGATCTTCAAAGTGATGAGGGACTCCTCATCACTAGGGGCAGTAACACACAGCGACTGTGTGTTGGGAGCAACCTTCGTCAAGAGTCCTGCAAATTCTATTGACGTTGCTAGATCAGCAGGGTGCTCCGCCCCTACTGACCCTGACCACTTTTTGACGGTCAGACTTGCTGTCGCGACTAGGCGACATGGTTGGACCCACGCCTTGGACCTTTCCTTGACCAACGGTGGTCATCACGTCCTGTCTTTGGACGTGTTGCGGTGCTCGGGACACTACACTCATGAGCGTAGTGTCCAATCTTCTGAAAGCGATGGCATCTTGCCGTTCGCTTGTGACTCAGAGAGCGAGAGTTCTCGCCCTCGATGTAACAAAGGTCCATAGGTTCGGGACCTCCTGTTTCCCGTCGTCTCGTCGGAAGATAGTTTAACGAGTTAGCCTGAAAATGTCTCAGGCTGAAGTCTTCTTGCTCCGCCTACGCTATCGCCAGTTTCAGCGTATGGAAGTCCTATTGGAGCATGTAGGTCTTCACCGGACCATCCACAAGGCCGAAGATGAACACGTTGATGAGTGTGTGCTCATCAACAGGGTTTTCCGTGACGCTACTCGCAAGGTAGCGCAGGTGCTGTACGTAATCGTGCATGTCACACTTACCTTGCTTTAGCCTCAAGAGTGCAGAGCGTGCTCTGAAGTCGGCTCTCGGCGGCTCAAACGTCTCTTTATGACGAGGCTTCAAGATCTCCAACGACTTAAACACGTTTGGGTCGTGAAGCTTGATCCCTAAGTCCCAAATCTTTGCTCGTCCAGTCAAATTAGACAGGGCGAAGGTGACTTGCATGTCGTCACCCTCGATGTGACGGGTCCTGATGGCGTCGTCTAACTCGACGAACCACCTCAAAAGGGAATCGCATCGATTCCTTTTTACCTTGAGATATCGATCTTCAAGGTTTCGGGTCGACGTGTGTGCGTCGGCCCACCCATCGACTGATGAGAGCCTTGCTGCTGTAGCAAGACTATCTTCTGTCTTTCGACGGCAAGTTTCCCTTGTAGGAACTTGTTGATAGCAGCATGTTGCTGGTCTATGCTTAGAGACCCCAACATATCAATAATGGCGGGTTCGCCCATAAGCACACTCATGCGGCCGACTACCTCCCACTCTGAGTCACTCAGATGGGAGTAGCCTTCACGTGTGACGTGAAAGCTGTCGTCTTCTACGTCCAATATGTTCATGTTAGACGGACACTAGGTACTTGTTGGACGGACTACAAATTGCTACCAGGTGTAACGGGGCACCCTGAAGCTTGTACTGGTGACAGTACAAGCTACTTATTCTGATGACAGAATAAGGCGGTGCCTCGGAATTTCACATACACTCGTACGTGCAGAGGAAGACGGTAAGAAGAAGCGAGTACTTGGTTAAAGTAAAAAGTAGAACTGTATTTATCATAGTTAATGTCTGTTGATGAATCCCTATTTATCTTCATCTAACTATGTCTAAATACAAATGTGTAAATCAGTTATCTGCTCACCACTCATTGCGTGCGTCTGTCGTGGCGCGTCTTCGTTGGTTGATATAATGGCCTATATCAACCAATTAGGAACTACTCGTAAAAGCTGCAGAATATTTGTCCTTATGACAATATTCTGAGAATATAACTCTTTTAGTAATATTCTATTAACAATTTCTAATAAATTGTTATCTAACGATTCACCCCGTTACATCACCCCCCCCTTAACCATCAGTCACTTTAGTGACTGATTTACTTAATGGATACTTGTCCCAAATCATTTGGGACAGGATTTGCACTTGTTGGTCCGAGTCCACTTTCCATCAGTTTCTTCGCATGGTAAACAAGCCCATGTGGTGCGCGAGCAAGGCCGCCGAGAGCGCGTTCGCACGTCTCTGTGCGGACGCCGAAGCAGAAACCACAGCAACTGAAATCTCATCGGATGTTGAAGCGACTCAGCCTGTGTCACCTGGTGATGCAGGCGCTCGTCATGAAGACACTCATGTCTTCACAGAGTATGAGCTCGGTGTCTCATACTCTCCTGATACGGAAGACGGATCCGTATCGACGGCGATTGAATCCAAGCCGCCTGCCAAGCGTGGCATGGATGATGCTATGCGTCGTAGCATCTTTGGTTCATCTGATTCATCAGATGAACCATCGCCGAAGCGAAGGCGCTCGAGGTCGCGAGACTCGGGCGCTAACAGTGGTGTCGGTTCTCCTGTTGACACCACTTCGCAACAAGGTGCCAGTACTTCTGTCGGCACGTCCAAGAAGAGCGGGACCGCAGTGTGTTGCGTCTCGCTCCCGAGAAGAAGGCATGGATGCCTCCTAAATCTGTCATGGATCACTTGTCGGCGACGACGAGTGATCGTTATCGAACACGGTTGTTCGATTCGTCAAGGATCCATCACCTTGACCCCAGTGCGAAAAACTATCGCGCTGAGAATGATTTCTTCATCGATGCTTTCTTTAAACATCGATGGTACAGTGGGAATCACAAGCGTGGTGGTCCCTGACTGCTTCAGGCGTGGAACGCCTACATCCATAACCTTGAGGATGTAGGTCGTGACGTTTGGAACGACAAACTTATCAAAGCTCGTGATAAGTTTAAAAAGCGAACCCCGACAGGTACACGCTACAAGCTGCATCGTCTGTCTAAGGAGAAAGGGTTACCCTGCCTCTCCTGGGTAGACTCGTGCTCATGTTGTGTGAACAACTCTGCACGAGCACCTAAGGAGGCTTACCTCCCTAATAGCCCGTGGTGGCGCGTACGTATCTCTAGTGAGACGTACGAAGGGATTGACAACCTGAAATCTCTTTACTACCGTGCCGGAAAGACTTTCTCCGGCGGTCCTTCTGCGGCACAGGATGTGCCGTGTCGTACTGCTCAACCAGACCCAGTACGTCAACCATCAGTTGGGAGCGGGGCTCCCAAGCATCCCAGGACTGGGGATAGCCGCGTTACCGAACGAGATAACTCGTCCGACGTCCGTTCACGTCGCGGTGGTTCAACAGCTGCTCAACCAGATAGCGCTGGCCACCGCGAGAGTTCTCTAATGGAGGTGGAGGAAGAGGGAAGACGCTCTCCACACAATCGTGGGGAAGCGTGTGTTCCCGAGAGCTTCTTTGATCGCGTAACGCAAGGGTTACGCGGCGATCTCGAACATGAGCGGGACAGGCGTCTCCAACTGTCGGACACTATCTTGAAGCATCGAGCTGAGTTTACCTTTGCTCAGCTTGAGAACGAGAGAGCTCTGACGTCTCCGCGTGACGATCTAAGGGTAGCTCGTGGGAATGTTGATCGGTCTCGGGCTGAGATAACTGCTCTTCAAACCCTTGTCGATGCCCACCATCGGGAGCACAAGGCTCTCTGCGAGATGCTTGAGCGCAAGGGCGTTCTTCATCGGAAGAAGCAGCGTACTGATGGTACGGCTTAAGCCGACCAACGTAAAACGTGGGATGCGTCTGCATCTTACGTGGCAACTCGATCGTGTATGCATTGCCTAGGCGGTGCAATACACGAAATGGGCCGATGTACTTGGGTAGAAGTTTAATGCTACCCAAGTTAGTCACTACATGCTTTGGTGGGTTAACCGTAGACAGTAGGACTAAGTCACCTTCATTAAATAAAAGAGTGTTTGCCCTTCCATTCTTGTCAGCGTTTTGCTTTTGCTTATCCACCGCTTTGGCGATGGAGTCTTGCACAAAACGGACTACCGTTTCACGAGCCAGTATGAATTCATCTGATGACTCGTTAGCTTCAGTGCGCTGTAAATGCACTGCAACAACATCAATCTTTTCTATAGTGAGGGCTTCCGCGCTCTCACTGGCATCATCTTCTTCGATATCGATGTTATCGATATCGGCATCAAACGCAATGACCTCTTCGTCAGAGCGCGATGAGCGTGAACCAAATCGGTTTTTGCTCGCGCGAGTCCCTCCCCCCCTTAAACCAGAGATACACTCTAGTAAGGTGGGTACACGCGGATGGCGTAAGCCATTCACGTAAAACGGTGTATGGGTCGTGGGCGCATGCACCGAGTTGTTGATGGCAAACTCTACCATTGGCAAGAACTCACTCCAACTCTTAAAGGAGTGTACGTATCCTCGAAGTATCTCTTCAAGGACACGATTGGCACGTTCCGTCTGACCATCTGACTCTGGATGATCAGATGTTGACATCTTCAAGCGCGTTCCGAGTGATTTGAACACGGAAAGCCAGAAATCAGCAGTGAATCGTGGATCTCTGTCTGATATGAGTTCACGGGGCAACCCATGAAGTCGGAAGACGGTGTCAATAAAGACACAAGCACAGCCACTTGCCGTGATTGTCTCTGGTACAGCCACAAGGTTTACCATTTTGCTGAATCTGTCAACAAATACGAGAATACCCGTATTCCCGCGTGCGTCTTTGGGTAACCCGAAGACAAAATCCTTTGAGATGGATTCCCAGCACTCAGCCGGAACCGGTAGAGGCTGTAAAGGTGCACGCAGTGAAGGACTTGACTTCACTCGTTGACAGACTTCGCATGCGCGAACGTACTTGCGCACAAACTGATACTGGCGGGGCCAGTAAAAGTCTCGACTCACCGTGAGATTTGTCTTCTCCCGGCCACGAGGTCCTCCTATAGGAGCATCGTGATACTCGAACATGATCCGCAAACGCAGATCAGTATCATCTGGAATGACAACACGTGGTGTGTCACCAGAAACGGCTGTATAATACATTAAACCGTTGCGAGTAGTGTATCGATCTGATGCAGATCGATACGCAGACGACAATCGTTTCAACGATTCTCGAGATGGTTGTGAAAGATGTGTCAACAACTTCACAATCTCACCATCTTGGGCGTATGCCGCCTCACATCATCATACAACGTTGTAGATGGGACTGAGGACGTCATAACCGCAACAGTGACTGTCTCACTGTTGGGTTTCACAACTGGTTCAAAGTCGGGACGACGTGAGAGTGCATCAGCGACGACATTAAGTCCTCCTGGTTTGTACTCGTCCGTAAAGTTGTATTCTGCAAAGAATGACAACCACCGCGCCATTCGTTGTGAAAGGTGCGGGCTGTTCACTGCCGTGCGTAATGACGCATGGTCAGTGTAAACAGTGAAGGGTCTATCTCCTATTAGATAGACTCTGAACTTCGCGAGTGCATACTTCATGGAAAGGAGTTCCTTGTCATGCACTGGATAGTTCCGCTCAGCTGATCGCAGCTGACGCGACTGATAGCAGACGACGCGTTCAACGCCTTCAAGATCGTACTGCATTAATGCACAGCCGATTGCGAAATCGCTGGCATCACAGACCACATGAAATGGCCTGTCCTGATCGGCTATTGCTAGGACTGGGGATTGTATCAAGCTCTGCTTGATACCCTCAAAGGAGCGTTGACATTCAGCGTTCCATAACCACCTCTCGTTCTTTTTCAACAAACGAGAGAGGTGCACAGTCATCTCGGCGTAATTGCGTGAATACTTGTGCAAATACGCCGCTAGCCCAATAAATTTTCGAAGACCTTTGACATCAACTGGCACAGGCCAGTCGGTGATCGCCTTGATCTTTTCGGGATCAGGACGTACACCGTTCTTACCAACGATGCACCCAAGAAGTGGTATTTCGCTTGCTGCAAATATACACTTCTTGAGGTTTGCATACAATTGATGCTTTCACATGATTGTAAGAACCTGTCGGACGTGGTACCTGTGAACCTCAACGTCCGACTTTCCATCCATAGCTCGACTATGGATGAATACGTCATCAAAATAACTCGGCGCGAATTCTCGTACTGGTCTCAACAGATATGATACACATCTGTTGGACGTGGAAGGGGCATTACTAAGCCCTTGTGGCATTACTAGCCATTCCCAGAGAATGCCGCTTGCGGTATAGGGTACATCCCGTTCTCGCATAAGGATTTGATAGAAGCCATCCATCAAATACACGGACGAAAAGATGGTACTCTTTGACATACCATCAATGATTACGTCCTTCCTCGGTATCGGCGTCTGAGCCGGTACCGTTGCAGCATTCAATTTGCTGAACGCGTGCACTATCCGCCACCCTCCTGTTGCTTTTCGCACACAGAAGGTCGGAGAGCTATGTGGGGAAGTTGATTCACTCACATGGCCCGCAGCTAAACGATCGGCAAAGAACTTGTCGATCGCAAGTACTTGTTCACGAGGCAGTGGCCACTGCTTCATGACACAGTACTTCGAGCCTGGTTTAAGCTCGACCTCGTGTCGAGTACCTTTATCCTTCGGTAACTCGCACGGAACAGTTTCAGGGAATACATCCTTGAATTCAACCAAATCTTCATAGAGAGGATTTGTCTTGAGCGATTCCCATGATTGAGAGTCATATCGCTCAATTCGTGTCTTTTCATCGAGGACGCTCTCGTCCATTGATGAACTACTGAGAACTCTCTCGTTCTCAGTAAACATTGTTGCTGACCTTGTGTCGGCTACATACTCGTCGTCAGCGACGAGTACGCATATCTGCTTGACTTTGACACTACGAAGATCACGCAAGAACCTTTTACGTTCGAGCGTTGGCAACTGAGTGATCTCTGAAGTCAACTTCGGAGGCGCAATCAGATCAAGTGTATAAGCGCCCACACTTGATCCGTCATTGACTATGACATTCAATGTCTCTGTCATTTCCTGGGGACTTGTTCCCTCAGGCCTCGAAGGACTTATTCCTTCGGCTTCCGGGGACTTATTCCCTCGGGGTTCGGGGAACTTATTTCCGCCGTATTTGTAATATCGGGGCTTATTCCCTTAACTTCCTCTAGCTCTGGTTGCGCAACCACAGCGAGATCCTCTACGAAAGACTCTACAGTCGATCTAGGATTATCGTTTCGCTTAACCTGAGCGATCGATTGTTTCTCTTCTAGATGTTCCCCGCTAGGAATACATCTTTGTCCCGGTCCACTCGACTTATTCGAGTGGTGGACCTTCGGCGCAGCCTGTGTTTCCTCACAGCCGCCGGAACTTTGCTCCGAAGTGTAACCGTTTGGTACACTAAGGTTTCGTGCAGTCGTACTAACGACCGTACCACAAGTGAGGCCATCGCACTCACTCGCAGTACATCCACACGCTTGTGGACGCTCCAAAACGTTCATCAGATGGCCATCTGATGAACAAGCGGCAGGCATCGTTACTGTTCGATGTTGCCAGTTTACCCGTGGTTCGTACCTTCTGAGCCACGGTATTCCAAGGATGACATCAAGTTTGTCATCCAAATCCAATACGATAAAGTCACCGTCATATTGGGTATCTTCTAGCGTATAGTGGATCTTCACTATACGCTTCATGACGGTTACGGATGCGCCTGTCGCAAGACGTACCGTCATCCTCGTAGGAGGTGTGTCACATTCACTAAACTTAAAATGACCATCTTCTAGCGATTGGCGTCGCACAAAATTGTTGGACGCCCCACAATCGACAAGAGCTCGAAGGGACAACTTATTCGTCACTTCGAGTTTCAAGGTAATGAGTGAGATCTCATTACCTAGAGCAGCAACGCACAACGTTTGTGTGTCGGGAGCAACCTTCATCAAGAGGCCTACGAATTCTCTTGACGTTGCTCGGCCAGTAGGGTGCTCCGCACCTACTGATCCTGACCGTTTTTTGACGGTCCATCCCGTTGTTGCGTCTTTGCACCAACAGCGGTCCCGCGCCCCTGCCCCTTTCTCATGGGTGGACGGTCACTACGCCCAGTTTTGCGAGACACTGGACGAGGGGCACTACACTCGTAAGCGTAGTGTCCTGTCTTCTGACATCTGTTGCATTTCTGGAACTTCTTGTAGTCTGTAGAGTGAGCCTTCTCGCTCTTACATAATAGAGTTCCATCGGCTCTGGACCTCCATTGTCATATCGTCTCGGTTGACGATATGATGTCGAGCTGGCGCGAGCCTGTCTCAGACTGAATTCTTCCTGTTCCGCAATGGAAATGGCTTGTTCTAGTGAATCTAGTTCAAGCCGGAACAGGTGAGTCTTGACGGGACCGTCCGCAAGACCCTTCATGAACACCGAAACCAACGTGTGTTCATCAACCCGATTGGAACTTATACAACTCGTGAGATGTCGTATATGTTGCGCGTAAGCGTGCACATCACGCTTAACCTGCTTGAGCTTCAAGAGTTCGGTTCGAGCTCTGAACTCAGCTCTAGGCGGTTCAAACGTTTGTCTGAGCCGCGACTTGAAGACTTCCAACGACCCAAATGCATATGGGTCGTGCAACTTGAGTCCCAAAGCCCAAGTCTTGGCACGTCCTGCCAGATTTGACTGGGCAAATGCAACTTGCATTTCCCCGTCGTCGATGCGACGCGCCCTTTTGGCGTCATCCAATTCGACGAACCATCTCAAGAGGGAGTCCTATTGGACTCCCTTATACTTAGAGATGTCAATCTTCAAAGTCTCGGGTCGACGCGAGTGCATCGACCCACCAGCAGCAGCCTGCTGCTGTCTCAACAGTTCAAACTGTTGAACACCCTGTTCTCTCAACAACCCTTATTGTTGAGAACCTTGTTGGTGAAGCAAGGCTACTTTCTCGCGTTCAGCGTCAAGTTCATTTTGAATGAACTTGGCGATAGTAGCATGTTGGGCATCTCTATTGAGAGCCTCTCGCATGACGCCAACAGCATGGATGCCCATGGTTGAACCCATCCGTTCAACCGCATCCCATTCGGCATCGCTCAAATGGGAGTAGCCGTCACGCGTAGCGTGAAAGCTTTGGTCATCTTCATCATCCAACGTATTCATGTTAGATGTGGACGTGGTCCTTGGACGGACTACGAAGTGCTACCAGGTGTAACGGGGCACCCTGAAGCTTGTACTGGTGACAGTACAAGCTACTTATTCTGATGACAGAATAAGGCGGTGCCTCGGAACTTCACGTACACTCGTACGTGCAGAGGAAGACGGTAAGAAGAAGCGAGTACTTGGTTAAAGTAAAAAGTAGAACTGTATTTATCATAGTTAACGTCTGTTAATGAACCACTATTTATCCTCATCTAACTAGGTCTGAATACAAATGTGCATATCAACTATCTGCTCACCACTCATTGCGTGCGTCCGTCGTGGCGCGTCTTCGTTGGCTGATATAATGGCCTATATCAACCAATTAGGAACTACTCGTAAGTGCTGCAGAATATTTGTCCTTATGACAATATTCTGAGAATATAACTCTTTTAGTAATATTCTATCAACAATTTCTAATAAATTGTTATGTAACGATTCACCCCGTTACAAGCAGGATAAAAACGAAAAAATTACCCGCATCGTAGAGCAGGGATGCAAAAGAGTAAACACTGCTGAAATCGTTACTCTGATTACTATCGAACACAACGACAAGTCTGAGAATGTATTTTGGTACCCGAAGCAACTTCATTCTCAGACAGGTTCCGTGTTGTTGCTCCGCGGGGTAACTGAGAACTGCTTCGGTAGATAAAATAGTTACTATCACATGCACCAGTACAAGCGGCAAGGCACGTAAGCGCACCTGCTACAGAAGCATCACCTATTTTCCAAGGTCACTGCAGATCGCAAGCACGATGCTGATCTAACACTCGCTGAAGCTATGATCTACATCATCCACCGAGGCAAGTTACACAGAGGGCAATGTCAGTTAATTACACCTAATTAGTCAGCTACATTTCATACCATATACGCGTACACTGCACAGCAGTACTGGGGAGGGCATTGTCATCAAGTTAGGGCTCGCCAGTAGATGAGCTGTGAACGACGTGACCCGCGTTGCGCTAGTCCTTCTTGCCCAGTCATAACTACTGCAGTAGCTTTTCTTTTCCACTGAGACGTATATTCGTGCATTGTGCGCGTTGCCCACTGCGCTGCTCACGATTATAGCGCCTGTGAACCGACAGCCGTCTCCATCTTGATCCAGTATCCCTTCTCCCACACTCGCACGCACAAACTGCTCCTTGTGATCAGCATTTTTTGAAGGGGATGTACTGCTAAAAAAACGCCTTCTTTCACCTTGTCGTACATATACTGCAGCTTGCCCAACAAATTGCTTATCCGACTGTGCATGTCTAGAGTGTGCGAGACTGGACATGTTTTTCAAATGGTCGTGTTGTCTGAAGGTGCTGACGGGGTGATGCTGGCTTTTGGTTTCGTTTATGAATAAACTCTCTGTACGTTCGCCACCATACAGCATCAGTGGTGCGCTGCGTAAGGTTGGCATAAAAGTTGCGTCCTTGCTTTGTGGATGTCAGCTGATGACATGCCACGGAGCCGCTACACGTTCAAGACCGTCGATCACGTGTGTTTCGCAACTGGTGGTGTGATTGACATTCATCTGGGTTATATTTGATTTAATTTTGTGAACGCTGAAGACGTGAATTGACACCGCTGAGAAATATTGGCAGATGATGCGCGCGGACAAGTGCCACAGCTGAGCACGCAGGGACTTGGGTCTAGATACGTGAGTCTGCTGCGGGTGAAACATTTTATGCAACTGGACCTGTCCCGTGACGTAACTATCGCTTTCCGGTATCGGCTTAAAAATCTGCAGCCGATCTTGAGAGTCTTTGCTTTGAGGAGAAAGGGTTCAGCATCTCCAATTCTATCGCGAATTAGCAAGGTGGTCGGTGCAACGCTGTTTTGGGCCGTTAAGATAATCCCCAGGTTGCTTGCATTGAAAAAGCAGATGCAATGAGATTACGCTGTCAAGTAGCATGCCAAGATAACTGGAGCCAGTCCATCCATAAGATATCACTGCAGGCACATTGTTTTCTGCAATTTTTCAAGTAGCACGACATGTGTCACGAGTCTCCGACAGCAGGCGGGAAGCAGCCGATGTTGTTGTCCACACACACCATTACGAAGACTTGAAAGTCCTACGCACTAGGCAAACTCCGCAGCCGTCATTGTCACCAAAGCTAAGTTGTCCAGCGGGGCGACTTCAACAGGCTAAACCTCCATGCCATTATCGTACCATCGAGCAGGTTGGTTTTGTTTTAAAACACTGGGTCCTGGAGATGAGACACACTATCTGGATCAGACAGTCAAGGTAGTGGGTGAATACGGGAGATGCCGATCAGTCCTAGCGAGGATGTAAGCGCCATTCTGCTGGTGCATTTTCCGTCGTGCGATTTTTGTGGTCGGTAGACGAGTCCTAGTCGCGTCTGCGTTTCAAAAAGTCGTTAAAGATGCGTACAAATCAGCGACATCGATATGATACTGCGGCATCGAGACTTTGCGTGGAATGGCAGAGGTTGCTCGGGGACTTCGGTCCAAAAGAGATGCACAGAAAGGTTATTGACATATCTTGAACGGATCAGAGGTGTGCCACACACTGCTGCTTTTTCTAATTAGTCATTCTGTGTGTGTTTCTGTTCCCCGTATTTGATACAAGGTTCATTCATCAATAATCTTCGGTACTTTGAATTCGCCACGACGATGCGTAGCTTCACATGACGTCAACATGTAATGACTGCTGTTGTACACAAAAGGTATGTTTCTTCTCTTTTTAATTCTTGAGCGTAGCTGATTACTACGAAGGTGATAACTAACCTGCTTCACACGCAATCAAATATGACGTTGTCGACACTGTCGACGTGACAACTCACTACCAACAAACTACTAGCCGCTAGTGGTGGACCATATTGCCGAGGCGACAATCAATAACACCAGAATGCCGTTATAATGCCGTACCTAAAATATGATACGGGTGCCAGCAGCCGAACCAAACCAGGTGTAATTATTCGAGGCGCGAGGGAAATGTCTACGAGCCGCCAGATTTCGCACACTTTGGCGCACCACTTTGCCCTGAAATTTCCTCGTCTTTTTGACGTGAACTGCTGCGACTCAATGCGTTTTACTTCGTCAAACGAATCTTGTGAGAAAAGTCGATCTTTACAACATGCTGCCCCAACTTCTTCAACCGTTTATCAATGATCTTTCCCTTCCCCCCTTTAACATTATGGTACTCCTGGTATTCAAATCCCTCGTATACATCCGGCGGAACGACGAAATATAGCCGCGGTTCATCAGGGTTTCCAAGCATCTCAAGAGCCTTGAGAAGCCCATTTTGTTTACAAGGGTGCACTTGTGCACAAGTAACCTGAAATAACTCGTCAGGCTTAGCCATCGCATCCACCGACTCAAAATTACGTGAGGCAGGCTGGAGAAATTCCCCAACATCGGAATGAGTCACATCATGAACTCGCTTGAAAAAAAAGGTTTTTCGCGGACACAATTTAACGCATTCCGACTCTGCGCGCTTGTACATCGTAACATCACCTTCGCTATCAACAACGACGCATTTTGATTTGCACTCGTCTTCGTCACCATCTGTAGCAAAATCTTTCGGTTTTAAGTGCCGAGATTCAAATTTCCCACCTTGCGACAGCAATGAAAGCGCGAATCGCTCGAATAGAATTCCCCGTTTCACCGCATCTTCGCTGAGTTCATGCGAAGCAGCAAGAAAATCGATTAGGTCCCTTCTCCCACGTTCATACAACCTTTCAAAAACTTTTTGGGCGATGTAGACCGATGCAAAGTCCAAACTCTTGTAACAAAACTCGTGGTTGACTCGAAAGTGGAGCAGCCGATGCGAGACGTCACTCTCCACCCCGTTTGATTCGACACTTGCTGTGAGTATCATCTGCAAATTAGATTTGGTAATTGCCTCCTTTAGCGATTTTTGCACTGCTTTGTCCTCAGCATACTCTAAGACGTAGCGCGCAACGCCGCCCCATTTCATATACCTTTTCTCCACAATCTCCACGGGAGTATTCGAATACAACAGCTCACGACACTTAAAAATCTCTTGCTTTGACCACACTGGCATGAACAACCTCGCGCATTTTCGTTGACAAATCTTATGCCAAACCTCTTTGCGTGGCGACGTTACAAGCATTGTCTTCGCCTTCACGCGTGATGGTTTGACACCATCCACGACGTAAAACGTTTTACGCTGCTTAAGAAAGATTTCAAAATCCGTTTTCGATCCTACGACCACCAGATTGCTGGAAAATAGAGTACGTTCCCCCTTCACTTCGGAACTCACGTAAATCACCGTAGCTCCATCTTGTGCGAGATACAGCAACACCAAAAAGCAAAAGTAAGTCTTGCCAATTCCTGGGGTGCCGAGGATGATAAGGCGCTTATAAGTTCCTTTCTTCCCGTCAAGAATGCTTCGACAAAGATCCCATAAGTGCGGGTAACATGGACGAACGTATATATGGGAGCCAAGCTCAGATTCATCAAGTATATATGTCTTTTCAGGTAACGTGATCACAGCGTCCGCTACGACCGGGGTATTCATCGTTCGAAAAGCTTTCCAGAAATCGACTCGTGGTGACTTCATCATCGTGGACGTGACGGGAGTCGTGACACCGCCCACAGTGATCGACTTGCCTAACGGACTGACCATAGTGGGCGGAAGCATCACCAGCACGTGGACAACGTCTTCTTCAAGAAAAAGACCGGTACCAAACAGACTGGGCTTTCTTAATCGCCAAGACGCGCGCATCTCCTCCATCCCATCGAGAATTCCTTGTGTCTGAATCAGTCTGTCCAAATCACCGTCGTCTCGCAGCCACGCCCCATCTTTTTTCGCCAGGAAGAGCCGCAGCTCTCTAGCATCGCACAGGACATCCACTGTGTTCTCATCCTTTATGTCTTTCTTCAAGTGAGCCACTGATCTATCTGTGTCGATATCCACGACAAAAGTACTTCGAGGTAATCCAACGATCGCACAAAGCAACGCGACTTGCACCATCTTTCTTTGACTTGACAGGTTTTCGACTGGCCTAATATGGGCGCCGGATATTGTCTTCAACATGAGCAGCCACATTTCTACCAATCAAAAGACAGATCGATGCAGTAGAATGACAGCATAACGGAAAAGACTGATGGGACACGGCACGCTCTTTCAGTGATGGGAAAAGGCAGCAACGAATGCGATTCTTCCTCAGAGGTTTACCGGTTAATCCTAGTAAGTAGAAAGGCCAGAACAAGTCGATGAAATCTCCATTTTCAATCATTCAATTAATTGATCTGTTTTCTTTGTGTGCAACGTCTTACACATCATCAAAGAGTGGCGCCTCCTGTTTTCCTTGGTATAAAAAGAAACCTTTCGCTGCAACGGGGTGGGGAAGTTACAGCAAGCAATCACGCATGAAACAGCTCGTCGTCATCGTCTACAAATAAAGCCGTTTCATCGTCATCTTTAACTCTATTCTTTCACCCTAAAATTAGAGTCTTCGCTTTTATGATACGACACAAACCATCACAAAACAACAACTAAGACCACCACCACCACCACCACCACCACCACCACCAGGAGCTACACACTCGCTTGTCGTTCCAAGTCTCTCGTATGTCTCAGCTGCAGCAGCAAAAGCGCGTCGAAGCGGCCGCGCAGCTCAAGCAGGCGGAGAAAGCCCTGACCAGGTGCTCGTTCTGGCTCGTTCAACTATCTCTCGGCCGCGCCGCTTCTGAATAAAGTGGGGGAAGTCTTTCGACTCGGGAATGACTGGAAAGCTAGTGAAGACGCGTTTTGGCACTTTGCAGACGTGCAACAGCACAACCAGGTGCCGTTTCGGCCGCACGGGCGTAGGAGAATGTAGCCGAGATGGTTTTGTTGCAGGTACAAGCTGGAGGGGTCCATTCGGACGATGTCCAGCCAGAAGTTACGGACAGGGGAAGCTCGCCTGGCTTGTGAGAAAGCTGGTGGCTTTTACGTGGTCATGGGAGAGTTTGGGAAAGCTGCTGATGCACTTGTTAAGGGAGCACAGGTCTGTGAGAGTCAGGGGTCTAGTGTGGACGACGTGCTGCCGCTCTACACACACGCGTGCGAGCTTCTCGAGGCCCGAGACAAGCCCCACTTTGCAGTCGAGACGCTCTGCAAGATGCAGGGTTTTCTCGTGAATATGAGATATACCGCGATGCAATTGCGTTGTTGGACCGTCTGACGGCGTTGTATATAGCTATGGACCAGCCTCACAATGTGCACAAGAGTCGCTTGAGCCAAGTCATTCTTCACCTGGCATCAGGGAACGTGGCTACAGCCAACGCTCTGTATCAAAGTGCTTGCAAGATGACGCGCTCTTGTCGTCGAATGGTTGTGTTTTTGCAGAAGACCTCGTGCTGGTCTCTAAAACAGGCAACGAAGACCTACTGCGAACAAGAGTACGGAAGCCGGGATTCCTTGCTCTGGACAACTAAATTGGACGTGTTAGTCGAAGTAATCGATCTACGGGTTGGGAGATGCTGCGGCTGGTGGTGCTAAGCCGCGAGCTCGACACCAGCACGGGACAGCTCCGTCGTTTAGTGGGAAACGCACGCAAGAGCAACAGCAGTCAGGCAAGCAACAGCAGTCAGGCAAGCGACGCAACCCGTTTGCACCTTCTGCAAGAGCTCCTTGTGCAGAATGGAATTCGTTTGCATCTACATCAAGAGCTCCAGCACAAGCACCAGTGTCTTCACTCACGTCGAAGTACTGTCGTCCGGGGCGCCGACAACAGCGAGCACGTTTGCCGACAGCGATTACGAAGCTGCTGCGCTGTCCGAAGCCCTTGGCACTGTTGCTGTTACAAAACAGGCCAAGACTCATTCACGATTGGCTTCGGTTTCCAAGTGTGTGCAACCCGTGTCGCCAGGGCCAGTTGGCCTGTCCTTATCATCGGGCTATCACCCCGATCATGGCTTCTTCGTCGTCGCCTGTAGCAGCGCGTGCAAGCACTTGCATGGATTTCGGATATGACGATTAGAGTTTGCCATGCCGGATTCCGACTTGCTCGAGTTTTCCATGGATGAGCCGACCGGGGTTGATGTAGGTGAGAGGTCGGATTCTTTAAGAACGCCTACAGCACCGGCATCCAAGACTAGGGTGCCAGTGCAAGAACTTAGACCGACGCTGAAGGCACCCGTGCACGATGAATTTGATCTCACATAAAGCAACGAAGGTCATAGCTCGGAGCCAACCAGGTTACGATGTGTTTTTGTATTCAGCCGAGTTTGGTTGTTGTATGCCCCAGTGACGTTTGATTAAACCAAAGACATTGTTCACCGGGTACTCGCTGAGCTTGTGCGCCACTAGACGTTCTAGTATCTCGCCCTGGCTAGTGTCTACTTTCAACCAATGACTATGACGTTACCCTATCTGATGCTTGTAACATCTTCACACTCGCATGCTCGGTACACCACCGAGTGGTCGCATGAAGTTTGTCACTACATCATTCACTCGTAAGACGTCGGTGAACATTGACTCGCTAAAGTTCAGCTTGGCCCCAACTATTTCCTTCGCAAGCAGAAGCCTAGAGCTCTACGCTTCGACCTCAATTGCAACATTACGCTTTTTCGATTGCAGTCAACCGGCTCACAGTAGCTTCGACTCTTTCTAGTGACGCAATGTGAACGCTACACACTCGTAACGCATATACGCCTTATTGGTATCACAATTCGCTTGGTACGTGCCAAACGAATTACATTTGAAAGTAAGGGTTTTCTTACGGCACGGTCAATGCGACAAATATAACAAAAAAGCAGTGACCATGTGTCCACAATGACCAGGAACCTGCTACATTCGCTGACTGCTCTCACTACTTCATATTTTACCCAATCATACCATAGCCACCACAGCTATGCACTTGAGCTTGCGTATTTCATCGACCACTTGCACCTTCCACATCCGGACGACATGCTATGCAGCTTCGCCTTCCGGCCACACAAATGTTCACTTAATGACAAACACGCTAAGGTTGCGTTCCTCAGGTGGTTTGAATATGTTTACCATACAATTGACACAGCGCCACTTTACTAACTTAACTCCGTGCAGTTTACATCATCGATATGCGCGTCCTAAGTAGCATCTGCGTGTGAAACAGTCGCTGAAGATGCGTCCAACCCAGAGACGTACACCTGATGCAGTCATCACAATGTAACCTAAGATGTCAAGTACTGCTTATTCCTCGGGCCAAGCAAAATAGACATTGGTGGACCAGCCGCTAGTGACAGGATGATGCATTTGCTACTGACGGTGTTAATTGTCCAGGTCGTCGCCTTTGGTGTTAAAATGTATGACTTCCGACGATACAATAGTATGTTTTTCGTGTGCAGCATTCGAGTTTCTGGCAGTGGATCAAACCGTTACAAACAACGATTTAATTCACTGCCAGACACTCGGATTCTGCACAAGACAAGTGGCCTGACCGTCCAGCTTACGTCAATTGGTAACATGTTACAGATGCTGTCCGGTGCAAAAGTGGTTTTTTTATGGATCAGATCTTCAGAAAAGCTGATTATTACAAACAGTTTCGTACTCCGCATGCATCTGTCTTCACATCCTGCTATCCTGGTCATCTGTTTTCACATCCTGCTATCCTGGTCCACATGTAAAGCTGGTATGACGTGGTTGACGTAAAAACGGATGGTGCACTGGTGCTAGTGCTGGCCCATCTTTCTAAACGGTGCACCAACGCCATCTATAACCTCGTCTACCAAGCGGCAACTCGAATACGAAGAATACGCTTACCCTGCGCCTGCGTTCAACACAAACGATGACCTCATCAGCGGCATCAGATAAGCTCATTCACTGACAAGTCCGCACTTTTCACGTGTGACGTTGTCCTGAACTTTCTTCACCTTCTTCTTCATGGGGTCTTCGCCTTCCGCTTCCTTTATGCGAGGAATCTCGTGGGCGTAGCTGACTTCCATTACAAATTGCTCCAGCTTCTCCACAATGTTGTCCTCATCCTTCTGTTTCTTCCTCTCGTTATGCTGGTAGGCCTGATATCTGAAATCATCGAATATATCGGGCGGTACAACGAAGTACAACCGTGGTTCAGCTGGTTTTCCAAGCAAATCCAGAACCCTGCAGAGCCCTTTACGTTTGCAAGGGTGCACTCGCGCACAAGTCACTTGGAAGAGTATATTGGGCGTGGCCATAGCATCCACGGATTCGAAATTGCTTGCCTTTGGCCGCAGGTATGTCGCCAAGTCTGCACTGGTCACTTGTTCGTCTCGCTCGAAAACAACATTTTTCAGTTTTGGCAAGTGTACCGTTTTGGTATCTTCATCAACAACGGCGCGTTTAACCTTCCTCTCACCCTCGTTCACACCTGCAGTAATATGTTTCGGACCCACAGTCAGACGCCGGACTCGAAAGTTTCCACCTTGTGGCAGCACTGAATGCACGTATCGCTCGAAAACACGTCCACGTATCACTGCGTATAAGTCAAAGCCACGAGAAGCATCAAGGAATGCCACTAATTTGGCCCTGTTGTGCTCATACAACTGCTGATAAATTATGTCAAGCACGTAATCCGACGCAAATGTATATCCCTGTTCGGTAAAATCGTCGTTGACACGATAGTGAAGTATCCGGTGTGATATCAACTTATCGTCCCCGCTTAATTTTCCATGCGACTTGATCAGCGCCTTCAAATCAACCTTAGCAATCGTCTCGTCAAACAATTTCTGTTGGTCCTGATCCATAGCATAGCGTAAGACGTAGCGTGCAATGCCACCCCATTTACGAAAGCATTCCTTCACGTCGTTTACAGGTCTGTCCGAATACATGAGCTCACGACATTGAAAAATCTCTTCCTCTGTCCAGACAGGCATGTAAAACCTCCCACAATCAAACTTATGAAACTCGAACCAGATTTCATGACGTGGCGACGTGACAAGAATCGTCTCCGCCTTGTAATCTTGTGGTTTCATGCCATCCACAATGTAAAATGTTTCACACAGGTCAAGAATTTTATCAAAATCCGACCGCGATCCTTGAATCACCAGTTCACCACTGAACAAGATACGCATCTTCCTTTGACCAGTCTCGTAAACCACTGTTTTTCCATCACGTGCAAGATACAGCAAGATCAGATAGCAGAAATACGTTTCGCCTATTCCCGGGCTGCCAAGAATTACAAGATGACGTGTGCACTCAAAGGTATCCAAGCAAGTATTCCACAACTGTGGATAGCAATGACGAATGTATATATGAGAGCCAAGCAAATCGTTACCAAGAATAAATGTTTCTTCCGGCAACGCGATCACAGCACCAGCTGCGAGGTCGGCATCAGAATAACACTCTCGGAAAACTTTCCAAAATTTGTCCAGTGAAGAATCCTTCCACATTGTTGGCGCAAAGGGGATTGTGAGACCACCCACAGTAATTGTATCGCGTTGCAGAATAGGTAGTCGGCTGAATATCTCCCAAAGCAATCGGCTCACCTTGTCGAACATGGAAAGCACCAATTGACTCGCACTGTGAGCATTACCCACCGTAGTTGGCTCACTTTGCGGACCAGGCATAGTCGGCGGAAGCATCACCAGCACGTGGACAACGTCTTCTTCAAGAAAAAGACCGGTACCAAACAGACTGGGCTTTCTTAATCGCCAAGACGCGCGCATCTCCTCCATCCCATCGAGAATTCCTTGTGTCTGAATCAGTCTGTCCAAATCACCGTCGTCTCGCAGCCACGCCCCATCCTTTTTCGCCAGGAAGAGCCGCAGCTCTCTAGCATCACACAGGACATCCACTGTGTTCTCATCCTTTATGTCTTTCTTCAAGTGAGCCACTGATCTATCTGTGTCGATATCCACGACAAAAGTACTTCGAGGTAATCCAACGATCGCACAAAGCAACGCGACTTGCACCATCTTTCTTTGACTTGACAGGTTTTCGACTGGCCAAAAATGGGCGCCGGATATTGTCTTCAATCTGAGCAGTCACATTTCTACCAATCAAAAGACAGATCGATGCAGTAGAATGACAGCATAACGGAAAAGACTGATGGGACACGGCACGCTCTTTCAGTGATGGGAAAAGGCAGCAACGAATGCGATTCTTCCTCAGAGGTTTACCGGTTAATCCTAGTAAGTAGAAAGGCCAGAACAAGTCGATGAAATCTCCATTTTCAATCATTCAATTAATTGATCTGTTTTCTTTGTGTGCAACGTCTTACACATCATCAAAGAGTGGCGCCTCCTGTTTTCCTTGGTATAAAAAGAAACCTTTCGCTGCAACGGGGTGGGGAAGTTACAGCAAGCAATCACGCATGAAACAGCTCGTCGTCATCGTCTACAAATAAAGCCGTTTCATCGTCATCTTTAACTCTATTCTTTCACCCTAAAATTAGAGTCTTCGCTTTTATGATACGACACAAACCATCACAAAACAACAACTAAGACCACCACCACCACCACCACCACCACCACCACCAGGAGCTACACACTCGCTTGTCGTTCCAAGTCTCTCGTATGTCTCAGCTGCAGCAGCAAAAGCGCGTCGAAGCGGCCGCGCAGCTCAAGCAGGCGGAGAAAGCCCTGACCAGGTGCTCGTTCTGGCTCGTTCAACTATCTCTCGGCCGCGCCGCTTCTGAATAAAGTGGGGGAAGTCTTTCGACTCGGGAATGACTGGAAAGCTAGTGAAGACGCGTTTTGGCACTTTGCAGACGTGCAACAGCACAACCAGGTGCCGTTTCGGCCGCACGGGCGTAGGAGAATGTAGCCGAGATGGTTTTGTTGCAGGTACAAGCTGGAGGGGTCCATTCGGACGATGTCCAGCCAGAAGTTACGGACAGGGGAAGCTCGCCTGGCTTGTGAGAAAGCTGGTGGCTTTTACGTGGTCATGGGAGAGTTTGGGAAAGCTGCTGATGCACTTGTTAAGGGAGCACAGGTCTGTGAGAGTCAGGGGTCTAGTGTGGCGACGTGCTGCCGCTTTACACACACGCGTGCGAGCTTCTCGAGGCTCAAGAAAAGTCCCTCTTTGCTGTCAAAACGTTTCGCAACCTGCAGAGTTTCCTCGTGAAGTACGAGCAACACCTCGTTGCGATTGCGTTGTGCCATACCGTGTGATGGCGTTGTATGAAGCTATGGACCAGCGCCACAATGTGCACAGATGCCGGTTGAGCCAAGTCATTCTTCACCTGGCATCGAAGGGCGTACCAGCAGATGGTGCTCTGTATTCAAAGTGCTTGCAAGATGACGCGCTCTTGTCGTCGAATGGTTGTGTTCTTGCAGAAGACCTCGTGTTGGCCTCCGAAATGGGCAACAAAACCTTACTGCGAACAAGAGTGCGGAAGCCGGGATTTCTTGCACTGTGCACTGGACAACTAAATTGGACGCGTTAGTCGTACATTATCGATCTACGGGTTGGGAGATGCTGCAGCTGGTGGTGCTAAGCCGCGAGCTCGGCACCAGCACGGGACAGCTCCGTCGTCGAGTGGGAAACGCACGCAAGAGCGACAGCAGTCAGGCAAGCAACAGCAGTCAGGCAAGCGACGCAACCCGTTTGCACCTTCTGCAAGAGCTCCTTGTGCAGAATGGAATTTGTTTACATCTACTTCAAGAGCTCCAGCACAAGCACCAGTGTCTTCACTCACGTCGGAGTACAGTCGTCCGGGGCGCCGACAACAGCGAGCACGTTTGCCGACAGCGATTACGAAGCTGCTGCGCTGTCCGAAGCCCTTGGCACTGTTGCTGTTACAAAACAGGCCAAGACTTGTTCACGATTGGCTTCGGTTTCCAAGTGTGTGCAACCCGTGTCGCCAGGGCCAGTTGGCCTGTCCTTATCATCGGGCTATCACCGATCATGGCTTCATCGTCGTCGCCTGCAGCAGCGCGTGCAAGCGCTTGCATGGATTACGGATATGACGACTTGAAGTATGGCATGCCGGATTCCGACTCGCTCGAGTTTTCCGTGGATGAGCCGACCGGGGTTGATGTAGGTGAGAGGTCAGATTCTTTTAGAACGCCTACAGCACCGGCATCCAAGACTAGGGTGCCAGTGCAAGAACTTAGACCGACGCTGAAGGCACCCGTGCACGATGAATTTGATCTCACATAAAGCAACGAAGGTCATGGCTCGGAGCCAACCGGGTTACGATGTGTTTTTGTATTCAGCCGAGTTTGGTTGTAGTGCGCAGCCACGTTTAAATTATTTAAAGGAGGGGAGTTTTGCTTAATTATTTGCTTTATTTTTAAATAAGAATATATATTTTGTTGAACAAGCAAATGAATTAATTTAAGTTTATTAAAAATAAATCAAATTTTAAATAAAAGATAAATCTTTATTTCCATAAATCGTTAAAATAGAACCTTGCCACCGCTGCCAAAGATGTACGAAATCTCGACGAACGTGATGCCGAGGATGTACCAGATATTGTACGTCTGCGCGTTGCACTCGCAGTAGTAGACGGCTCGTTACCGCAGGCTGGAGGGCAGACAAGCAACGTACGTCACATATCCTTGCTATAGTGTTGTCATGAAAGTAATACCCAAGGCCAAATTCAGCCCTCGGTACAATATGTAGATGGCGTTGACGAGGACGAGGTCGAAGATGATGGCCAGGATGAGCGCGAGCCAACACAGAGTCAAGTTGTTCGATTGTGTTCGCCAGCGCATTGACTGGAATCGCTGCAGTATCAATCGAAGTTGCATCTAGGAAGTAGCAGCTCGTTTGTGCTGGAACACTAGCTTCGGTAGCCATCGCGTGCATTTGTCGTCACACCAGGTTCAGCTAGACAAGTCAGCAATACTTGATGCTCCGGAGATAGATTTGGACATTGGTGATCTTCCCGTTAGAGATATTACACCCGTCCCTATGGCTCAGCACTAATTCCAGTCAATGGAAGCTCTTTAACCTCCGCACCTCTGATCTTCTATCTAGCATACTTCAACTAAATTAAATATTAAGCTGATTAGATGTTCGAAAACACGTTTGACTGGGTTTGCAGTACGGAAAAGCAAAATTGAAAGTACGGAATAGCCTCGCCCAGAAAGAATCGCATTCGTTGCTGCCTTTTCTCATCACTGAAAGAGCGTGCCGTGTCCCATCAGTCTTTTCCGTTATGCTGTCATTCTACTGCATCGATCTGTCTTTTGATTGGTAGAAATGTGACTGCTCATGTTGAAGACAATATCCGGCGCCCATATTTGGTCAGTCGAAAACCTGTCAAGTCAAAGAAAGATGGTGCAAGTCACGTTGCTTTGTGCGATCGTTGGATTACCTCGATGTGTTTCTGCCATCAAAATCGACACGAATGAAGTGGTAGGGATTTTGAAAGATGCCATTAAGGCGAAAAACGCAGTGGATATCTTGTGCGATGCTAGAGAGCTGCGGCTCTTCCTGGCGAAAAAAGATGGGGCGTGGCTGCGAGACGACGGTGAGTTGGACAGACTGGTTCAGACCGAAGGATTTCTCGGTGGGATGGAGGAGATGCGCGCGTCGTGGGAATTGTCAGATCCTAGTTTGTTTGGTACCGGCGTATTGCTAGGAAAGAAGATGGTCCACGTGCTGGTGATGCTTCCGCCGACTATGGCTAGTCCGTTGGGCAAGTCGATTACTGTGGGCGGTGTCACGACTCCCGTCACGTCAACGATGATGAAGTCACCACGGATCGATTTCTGGAAAGCTTTTCGAACGATGAATACCCCGGTCGTAGCGGACGCTGTGATCACGTTACCTGAAAAGACATTTATACTTGATGAATCTGAACTTGGCTCCCACATATACGTTCGTCCTTGTTACCCGCACTTATGGGATCTTTGTCGAAGCATTCTTGACGGGAAGAAAGGAACTTATAAGCGCCTTATCATCCTCGGCACCCCAGGAATTGGCAAGACTTACTTTTGCTTTTTGGTGTTGCTGTATCTCGCACAAGATGGAGCTACGGTGATTTACGTGAGTTCCGAAGTGAAGGGGGAACGTACTCTATTTTCCAGCAATCTGGTGGTCGTAGGATCGAAAACGGATTTTGAAATCTTTCTTAAGCAGAGTAAAACGTTTTACGTCGTGGATGGTGTCAAACCATCACGCGTGAAGGCGAAGACAATGCTTGTAACGTCGCCACGCAAAGAGGTTTGGCATAAGATTTTTCAACGAAAATGCGCGAGGTTGTTCATGCCAGTGTGGTCAAAGCAAGAGATGTTTAAGTGTCGTGAGCTGTTGTATTCGAACACTCCCGTGGAGATTGTGGAGAAAAGGTATTTGAAATGGGGCGGCGTTGCGCGCTACGTCTTAGAGTATGCTGAGGACAAAGCAGTGCAAAAATCGCTAAAGGAGGCAATTACCAAATCTAATTTGCAGATGATACTCACAGCAAGTGTCGAATCAAACGGCGTGGAAAGTGACGTCTCGCATCGGCTGCTCCACTTTCGAGTCAACCACGAGTTTTGTTACAAGAGTTTGGACTTTGCATCAGTCTACGTCGCCCAAAAAGTTTTTGAAATGTTGTACGAACGTGGGAGAAGGGACCTAATCGATTTTCTTGCTGCTTCGCATGAACTCAGCGAAGATGCGGTGAAACGGGGAATTCTATTCGAGCGATTCGCGCTTTCATTGCTGTCGCAAGGGGGGACATTTGAATCTCGGCACTTAAAACCGAAAGATTCTGCTACAGATAGTGACGAAGACGAGTGCAAATCAAAATGCGTCGTTGTTGATAGCGAAGGTGATGTTACGATGTACAAGCGCGCAGAGTCAGAATGCGTTAAATTGCGTCCGCGACAAACTCTTTTTTTCAAGCGAGTTCATGATGTGACTCATTCCGATGTTGGGGAATTTCTCCAGCCTGCCTCACGTAATTTTGAGTCGGTGGATGCGATGGCTAAGCCCGACGAGTTATTTCAGGTTACTTGTGCACAAGTGCACCCCTGTAAACAAAATGGGCTTCTCAAGGCTCTTGAGATGCTTGGGAACCCTGATGAACCGCGGCTATATTTCGTCGTTCCGCCGGATGTATACGAGGGGTTTGAATACCAAGAGTATCATACTGTTAAAGGGGGGAAGGCAAAGATCATTGATAAGCGGTTGAAGAAGTTGGAGCAGCATGTTATAAAGATCGACTTTTCTCACAAGATTCGTTTGACAAAGAAAAACGCATTGAGTCGCACCAGTTCACGTGAAAAAGACGAGGAAATTTCAGGGCAAAGTGGTGCGCCAAAATGTGCGAAATCTGGCAGCTCGTAAACATTTCCCTCACGCCTCGAATAATTACACCTGGTTTGGTTCGGCTGCTGGCACCAGTATCATATTTTAGGTACGGCATTATAACGGCATTCTGGTGTTATTGATTGTCGCCTCGGCAATATGGTCCACCACCAGCGGCTAGTAGTTTGTTGGTAGTGAGTTGTCACGTCGACAGTGTCGACAACGTCATACATGATTGCATGTGAAGCAGGTTAGTTAACACCTTCGTAGTAATCAGCTACGCTCAAGAATTAAAAAGAGAAGAAACATACCTTTTGTGTACAACAGCAGTCATTACATGTTGACGTCATGTGAAGCTACGCATCGTCGTGGCGAATTCAAAGTACCGAAGATTATTGATGAATGAACCTTGTATCAAATACGGGGAACAGAAACACACACAGAATGACTAATTAGAAAAAGCAGCAGTGTGTGGCACACCTCTGATCCGTTCAAGATATGTCAATAACCTTTCTGTGCATCTCTTTTGAACAGAAGTCCCTGAGCAACCTCTGCCATTCCACGCAAAGTCTCGATGCCGCAGTATCATATCGATGTCGCTGATTTGTACGCATCTTAAACGACTTTTTGAAACGCAGACGCGACTAGGACTCGTCTACCGACCACAAAAATCGCACGAAGGAAAATGCACCAGCAGAATGGCGCTTACATCCTCGCTAGAACTGATCGGCATCTCCCGTATTCACCCACTACCTTGACTGTCTGATCCAGATAGTGTGTCTCATCTCCAGGACCCAGTGTTTTAAAACAAAACCAACCTGCTCGATGGTACGATAATGGCATGGAGCTTTAGTGTAACGGGGTGAATCGTTACATAACAATTTATAAGAAATTGTTAGTAGAATATAAAAAAAGAGTTATATTCTCAGAATATTGTCATAAGGACAAATATTCTGCAGCACTTACAAGTGGTTCCTGATTGGTTGATATAGGCCATTATATCAACCAACGAAGACGCGCCACGACAGACGCACGCAATGAGTGGTGAGCAGATAGTTGATTTACACATTTGTAATCAGACATAGTTAGATGAAGATAAATAGTGATTTATTAACAGACATTAACTATTATAAATACAGTTCTACTTTTTACTCTAACCGAGTACTCGCTTCTTCTTACCGTCTTCCTCTGCACGTACGAGTGTACGTGAAGTCTCGAGGCACCGCCTTATTCTGTCATCAGAATAAGTAGCTTGTACTGTCATCAGTACAAGCTTCAGGGTGCCCCGTTACACCTGGTAGCACTTCGTAGTCCGTCCAAGGACCACGTTCACATCCAACATGAATATGTTGGATGATGAAGATGACCAAAGCTTTCACGCTACGCGTGACGGCTACTTCCATTTGAGCAATGTCGAACGGGATGCGGTTGAACGTATGGGTTCGACCATGGGCATCCATGCTGTTAGCGTCATGCGAGAGGCTCTCGATAGAGATGCCCAACATGCTACTATCGCCAGGTTCATTCAAAATGAACTTGACGCTGAACGCGAGAAAGTAGCCTTGCTTCACCAACAAGGTTCTCAACAAGCAGAGTTGTTGAGAGAACAGGGTGTTCAACAGTTTGAACTGTTGAGACAGCAGCAGGCTGCTGCTGGTGGGTCGATGCACTCGCGTCGACCCGAGACCTTGAAGATTGACATCTCTAAGTATAAGGGAGTCGAAGAGGACTCCCTCTTGAGATGGCTCGTCGAATTGGATGACGCCATAAGGGCGCGTCGCATCGACGATGGGGAAATGCAAGTTGCATTTGCCCAGTCAAATCTGGCAGGACGTGCCAAGACTTGGGCACTGGGGCTCAAGTTGCACGACCCATATGCGTTTGGGTCGTTGGAAGTCTTCAAGTCGCGGCTCAGACAAACGTTTGAACCGCCTAGAGCTGAGTTCAGGGCTCGAACCGAACTCTTGAAGCTCAAACAGGGTAAGCGTGATGTGCACGCTTACGCCCAACATATACGACATCTCACGAGTTGTATAAGTTCCAATCCGGTGGATGAACACACGTTGGTTTCGGTGTTCATGCAGGGTCTTGCGGATGGTCCCGTCAAGACTCACCTGTTCCGGCTTGAACTAGATTCGCTAGAACAAGCCATTTCCATTGCGGAGCAGGAAGACTTCAGTCTGAGACAGGCTCGCGCCAGCTCGACATCATATTGTCAACCGAGACGATATGACAACGGAGGTCCAGAGCCGATGGAACTCTGTTATGTAGAGAGCGAGAAGGCTCGCTCTACAGACTACAAGAAGTTGCAGAGATGCAACAGATGTCAAAAGACAGGACACTAAGCTTATGAGTGTAGTGCCCCTCGTCCAGTGTCTCGCAACACTGGGCGTAGTGACCGTCCACCCATGAGAAAGGGGCAGGGGCGCGGGACCGCTGTTGGTGCAAAGACGCAACAACGGGATGGACCGTCAAAAAACGGTCAGGATCAGTAGGTGCGGAGCACCCTACTGGCCGAGCAACGTCAAGAGAATTCGTAGGCCTCTTGATGAAGGTTGCTCCCAACACACAAACGTTGTGCGTTGCTGCTCTAGGTAATGAGATCTCACTCATTACCTTGAAACTCGATGTGACATATAAGTTGTCCCTTCGAGCCCTTGTCGATTGTGGGGCGTCCAGCAATTTTGTGTGACGCCAAGCGCTAGAAGATGGTCATTTTAAGTTCAGTGAATGTGAAACACCTCCTACGAGGATGAAGGTACGTCTTGCGACAGGCGCATCCGTAACCGTCATGAAACGTATAGTGAAGATCCACTATGCGCTAGAAGATACCCAATATGACGATGACTTTATCGTATTGGATTTGGATGACAAATTTGATGTCATCCTTGGAATACCGTGGCTCAGAAGGTACGAACCACGGGTAAACTGGCAACATCGAACAGTAACGATGCCTGCCGCTTGTTCGTCAGATGACCATCTGATGAACGTTTTAGAGCGTCCACAAGCGTGTGGATGTACTACGAGTGAGTGCGATGGCCTCACTTGTGGTACGGTCGTTAGTACGACTGCACAAAACCTTAGTGTAACAAACAGTTACACTTCGGAGCAAAGTTCCGGCGGCTGTGAGAAAACACAGGCTGCGCCGAAGGTCCACCACTCGAATAAGTCGAGTGGACCGGGACAAAGATGTATCCCTAGCGGGGAACATCTAGAAGAGAAACATCGATCGCTCAGGTTAAGCGAAACGATAATCCTAGATCGACTGGAGAGTCTTTCGTAGAGGATCTCGCTGTGGTTGCGCAACCACAGCTAGAGGAAGTTAAGAGAATGAGTCCCGATATTACAAATACGGCGGAAATAAGTTCCCCGAATCCCGAGGGAATAAGTCCCCGGGAAGCCGAAGGAATAAGTCCTTCGAAGCCTGAGGAAATAAGTCCCCAGGAAGTTACAGAGACATTGAATGTCCTAGTCAATGATGGATCAAGTGTAGGCGCTTATACACTTGATCTGATTGCGCCTCCGAAGTTAACTTCGGAGATCACTCAGTTGCCAACGCTCGAACGTAAAAGGTTCTTGCGTGATCTGCGTAGTGGCATATTCAAGCAGATCTGCGTACTCGTCGCTGACGACGAGTGTGTAACCGACATAAGGTCAGCAACAGTGTTCACTGAGAACGAGAGAGTTCTCAGTAGTTCATCTATGGACGAGATTGTCCTCGATGAAAAGACACGGGTTGAGCGATATGACTCCCAATCGTGGGAATCGCTCAAGAAAAATCCTCTCTATGAGGATTTGGTTGAATTCAAGGATGTATTCCCTGAAACTGTTCCGTGCGAATTACCGAAGGATAAAGGTATTCGACACGAGGTCGAGCTTAAACCAGGCTCGAAGTACTGTGTCATGAAGCAGTGGCCACTGCCTCGTGAACAAGTACTTGCGATCGACAAGTTCTTTGCCGATCGTTTAGCTGCGGGCCATGTGAGGGAATCAACTTCCCCACTTAGCTCTCCGACCTTCTGTGTGCGAAAAGCAACAGGAGGGTGGCGGATAGTGCATGCATTTAACAAGTTGAATGCTGCAATGGTACCGGATCAGACGCCGATACCAAGGAAGGACGTAATCATTGATGGCATGTCAAAGAGTACCATCTTTTCGCCCATGGATTTGATGGATGGCTTCTATCAAATCTTTATGCGAGAACGGGATATACCCTATACCGCAAGCGGCATTCTCTGGGAATGGCTAGTAATGCCACAAGGGCTTAGTAATGCCCCTGCCACGTTCAACAGATGTGTATCACATCTGTTGAGACCAATACGAGAATTCGCGCCGAGTTATTTTGATGACGTATTTATCCATAGTTGGGCTATGGATGGAAATTCGGACGTTGAGGATCACACGTACCACGTCCGACAAGTTCTTACAATCATGCGAAAGCATCAATTGTATGCTAACCTCAAGAAGTGTATATTTGCAGCAAGCGAAATACCACTTCTTGGGTGCATCGTTGGTAAGAACGGAGTACGTCCTGATCCCGAAAAGATCAAGGCGATCACCGACTGGCCTGTGCCAGTTGATGTCAAAGGTCTTCGAAAATTCCTTGGGCTAGCGGCGTATTTGCATAAGTATTCACGCAATTACGCCGAGATGACTGTGCACCTCTCTCGTTTGTTGAAAAAGAACGAGAGGTGGTTATGGAACGCTGAATGTCAGCACCCCTTTGATGGTATCAAGCAGAGCTTGATACAATCCCTAGTACTAGCAATTGCCGATCAGGACAGGCCATTTCATGTGGTCTGTGATGCCAGCGATTTCGCAATCGGCTGTGCATTTAATGCAGTACGATCTTGAAGGCGTTGAACGCGTCGTCTGATATCAGTCGCGTCAGCTGCAACCAGCTGAGCGGAACTATCCAGTGCATGACAAGGAACTCCTTGCCATGAAGTATGCACTCGCGAAGTTCAGAGTCTATCTATTAGGAGATAGACCCTTCATTGTTTACACAGACCATGCGTCGTTACGCACGGCAGTGAACA